CTACTAGGAGCAAGAACGCTACTAGGGGCTCCTGGCATCGCTACTAGAAACAAGGACGCTAATAGGGGCTCCTGGCATCGCTACTAGGAGCAAGGACGCTATACTAGGGGTTCCTGGCCGTACCGACCTACTCCCAGACAGGTTTCGCAGTCCAACGAATTCGGGAGGAGCTTCGGCCGCTTTGGCTTCGAACAATTTGGACGCCGTCGTATTCGCACCTCTTCGAATCCCAAAAATGGGTTGTCACCTCTACGAGAGGTTCTCTCACAGGAGATTGTCTCTGTGAAGGCGCAGCATAGCCAAAATACAGTGCTCAATCAGAACAACTTCACAAATTGAACCACATCTATCGTTTTCATACCACATGTGCCACATGTTCATAAAAGAAGCAGTCCAAGTTCCAAATTTCAGAGACGCTTGAAGTTTTTGACATGAAGGCTGTGATCGCAGGGAAGTGCTTGTTTGAATCCGATGAGGCTTTGGTTTTGCAACAACTGGCCCAGTACCGTGAGGCGAGTATTTTGAGAAGCAAGTTTGAGACTCGTAAGACAAGTCTGAAAAGGCATGTCAAGGCATGTCGATTTGGAGGACACTTAAGATTTCATCACACACCTGTGCATGTAAGTCATATTGTATGTTTTATGTCAATATCCGAGACAAACACTCCGGTAGCAACGTCCAAAGACACCACAGAAACACATTCTCTAAGACATACAAACACAATCAAACACATCGCACATCACAAGCATTGTAGAGGTACTCGAAATGCGTTGCTCGGGTTGGGTTGCTTTGCTCGGACCTAGTGGCGCATAGTGGCACTAGGGGACTCCGTCCAGGAATTCGATGCGCGCATGTCCAAGCTGGAAGATCGACTTGAAGGTGCGGTCCTGCGAGGCAGGCATACCACGCCAAAGTCTGTTCTTAGATTCATCCTTTCTCAAAACCCGAACACACTTGATTGAAAGACGCTACTAGGAACATCTAGGAACAAAGGGCATCGCTACTAGGAGCTTTTTGCAGAAAGATTCCGAACGACGCTGACAGCCAGTTGCCGATGGCTTCGGCCGGGAGAACGCTTCCAAGGTCAGTCACCAAGTCACCACGACTTGGAGTTGACAGGCCGTAGCTAGTAGGGCCTAGCCCTAAGCTTACAGGTAGCTAAGCTCCAAGCTAGAAGCGGCCTCAAACCTACTAGCCTAAGCTTAGAAGTGGCTAACAAGTAAGGTTATGGGAGATGTAAGGAGGTAAGTTTGGTAAGCTACTTAGGTTAAGCTACTACCGTTTGGAAGCAGGCTAGGGCTCAGGCTTCATGATTTGGTTCCCACCTGCTAGGTGAGGGTTGTTAGATTTTATTAGAGCTGTCCTCCTCCTCCACAAGTATCAGATCGCAATGGGTACCACAGGACCTCAACCACGAATGCCAGTTCACAGTAGGCCTCAACCCCGAACGCTAGAACATGGCCAGAAACAATGTCAGAATGAATGCGAGAAAGCATACCAGGAAAAAAAAGATAGAATGCCAGAAAATATGCAAACATAGCTGCTGGGCCCAAACGCCCTAAAGCTCGGGCTTTCTGGGGGCCCCGGGCCGGCTGGGCGCTCATCCGCCGACCGGCGTCGACGAGGCTCACGTCACCCGTGAGCTCCCACCGCTCCTGTGCCTTTAGGTTCCTTTGACCTCCTGAGGATCCTGCGCCATGGCTCTTGGTGAGTTGTTGACCCTGGCTGACCAGGCTCTGCTGGGGACTGGACGACAGAAGATCCGTTCTTTGTTGCTGGATGTCCATGCACCTTCATTCCCGCTGATGATCGATGGCTGTGTGTGCATCATGGGCCCGCGAAGCAATCCACTATGGTTCCAATGGCCTCGAACTTGCTCCTCTTGGGTTCTTCCCTGGAAAGGGTTTTGTGAGATCAGCTGATGTCCCTGAGAAGATTTGGCTCCACATTCCGAATCTGGAAGCACGTTCCATTTCGGTTGCTGCTGGAGTGCAGTTGGTTTGTTTTGGCCACCTCCATGAGAACTCGAAGGCCCCGGTCTTTCAGTTTACCAAGCAATGCACAGTGCATTTTCGACCTGACATGGATGCTTCCTTTGCATGGGACTGCACACATATGTTCAGCGGCTCGTTCTGTGGATGGCACCAAGCTGTGGACTGGATACCCAATGCAGGGGTAGGCTTCCTGCCAGGACGCCAGCTCTTCATCGACAACGATGCCATCACCATGAAGGTTTGTGCCACGCAGAACGAGATGAGAATTGTGAAGTGTCCCTTGGACGCCTGTGCACCTTGGGATCCTGCCAACAAACTCGGAATTCTCGGTGACGTCGCAGACAGCACCATTCCTTTCGTGCATCGATCACAGCTCAACCTGTTGTGTACCTTGTCTCCTCCATGTCAGACACGGTCAAGAGGAGGCAGGGCAGGTGGTTTGTCCGAGGCGAATGGCATGAGCTTCATTGATGCTCTCAAGCAAGCCTTTATCCTGCAGCCGATTCTTGCTTTCACAGAATGTGCGGCCGAAATCCGCAATCATGCTCACTTTCCAATTGTACAGTCACTTGCGGTGGCCCTTGGGTTCAAAACCCTTTGGACACAGGTCATGCCCTTTCATGAACTTAGCCATCACCACCGATCTCGCTACAGGACCTTTGCTCGATGGCACTGTACTACACCTCTCAAGGTCTACGCAAATCAAAGCAGGAGGCCATCATCTTGCTTCTGGTGCTACACCTACACTTGATACAGGTGCCGACTTTCAGGCTCGCACTGAGTATATGTGCATTACACACGGCTGGATCGCTGCAGATGAGCTCTGGAGCATCACGCAGAACATCATGTTCACGCAAGACCAAGCCAGATTCACAGCTCCTGTGTACTGGAATCAACGAGATGGTGATTTCACGCTATCCCCTTTTGGCGAGATTGTCTTGCTCAACAACACCATCAATGTGATCTGTGTGTTGGTTGATGATCATTGGGCTGCCATTGAGATCACTCGCAGAGGGGACTCTGCTCACCTGACCTTCGTGCAGATGCCGCTTCACACAGCTGCCACCTTTGTGGTTGCGAGATTGCTCGACATTGCCCCTCACAGGCTCACTACATCCAGTGTCCATGACCAGCACCTTCCGCACCTTTGTGGTTGGCGCCTTGTTCAAAGATGGCTATTGCTAGATTGACCTTTGGAGCTCACATCTCCCAGATCCCAAAGAAAGAAATGTCCCAAATGCAGGGTGCTGTCATTCGTGCCATGTGGGCTGGTCGCCCTAAATGGAGGGCTAAATGGCTTGTGCAGGCTGTGCTTGGGCAACCTCACCGCACAGATCCACTCCTCGCCTCAGCGGTTACCACTGTGCAAGAATTTGTACGATGCTGCCAACGAAGCCCTGAGCTGTTGCCATTGATACAAAGCACCTTTATGCCCTCCGAGACTTTGCCGCACTCCTTGTGGTCCAGGGTTCGTTCAGCTTGTGAAGTTTTGAACATTGAGATCTCATCCGACTTTTAGCTCTCATTCAAAGGGTCCCCCGGTTTTGCCATTCATTCACTCCAACCAAGAGAAATTCGACCCCTACTTAAGCAACTTGCACGTCAGGCTGCTTATACCAATGTCGATTTTCGACCATTGGAGTTCCACTGCGCTGCTTAGATCCAAGCAGCTTCCATCTACCCACAACATCCCTGTCCAAGTGCGTTTCCAATCGGTCGTTGTTGGCTGTGTCGTCACAAATGACCGCCTTGCTGCTGCAGGATGGACCAAATCCAGTCAATGCCGGTTTTGCCACAAAACTAAGGAATGCCTTGACCATTTGGTCCATGAATGCCTCCCTCTTCATGCTACCATTGGGTCACCAGTGCTGCACGAGCTCGGTAGCAATTTTGCAATGACTGGTATTGTTGAGCAACCGTTCTTTTTAGCACGACGCCGTCTGTTGTTGAGCAAAGCGCCCAGCATTTATCCTGCATTTGACCCGAATGGTCTTGAGGAACTCTGGACTGACGGCTCTGTTCTCTGGAGTGAACGATTTTGGATCACCGCGGCCACTTTCGCCGTCATTGATGCAGATTTGAATGTTCGAGCCAAAGGTCTTGTCAACTATCCTTGCCTTAGCTCCTATGTTGCAGAGTTGTGGGCTGTGGTTCAAGCTTGCCTGCTCGGAACACAACGCATACAGATTTTCTGTGACTGCAAAAGTGTTGTTGAGCATGCGCAGATTGTTTTCTCGACGGGTTGTGCTGATCCTAGTTGGTTATGTCAGGATTGGTGGCAGTCACTTGCGGCCGTCACGCAACAACGACGTCTTATCCATTCCGAGCCTTTTGCCATCCAATGGATTCCTGCCCACTGCCTCGAGCAAATTCCAGTTGCCTCCATCACCGACCAAATGGCCCAAGCTTGTGGCACCACCGTGCGACACATCGCTCGCAACAGAAAAGCCGACCTCATCGCCAAAGAGTATGCAGTTGCTATTGCTCCAGCGTCTGTTGAAGTGCAGCGGGAAGCAGATGCGGGTTGCCTTAGCCACCAACGATGGCTCACTGACCTCCACGCCCTTCTTCCCACTGAACCTACTGGTGGAGATGAACCGCCTGCTCAATCAGAGGAAGCCATTGACATTGACTACTGCAAACGATGGTTCCCTCTCTGGAGCTGGCACAGCCGTGCTACAATGTTTCAATGGAAACCCAAAATTCCTCGTGGTCTCTTGCCGCCTACACAGTGGAATGGTACTCCTGGTGAATGGCAGACAATTTGTTCCTTTTTTCAAGGACTTCGCTGGCAGATTGACAAAGAAGCAATCACTTCAATCTCTGAGCTCACTGTACACTTCCATCAGCAAGGATGGAAATTTGAAGGTGATATGCAGTTGACAACTTACTTTGACATCCATGCGAAAATCCGACGTGCTGTTTCGATCCTGGCTCAACGGGATGACGCGCAAGCCTTCCCTGGTGAGTTGTGCCCCGCATTGGCAAAGGCGGCAGGGCGAACCTTGCCCCAGGGTTCCATCAGTGGTGCCTCACTTTTCCTGGACGATGAGACACTGATTCATCTCTGTCGGGTTTTTGCACTCGGTGCCAGCCGAACGCTTTCGTCATGGCGCCTTCCTGTACTCTAGTCGCTTCCTGTGCATGTTGACTGGCGATGCTAGTCCTTTTGGGGTTATCTTCTGTGTTTAGGTCAGCGGCCTTGCACAAGACTGGCCACGTTTCTTTGTGGAGACCGGTTGCGCTTGGTGATATGCAAACATATTGCGAGATAGAATGCTAGAATATATCCCAGAGAGCCTGCCAACATATTTTGTCTATATGCCAGAAAGAATGCCACAAAGTATGCCACGTAGAGTGCAATATATACCAGATAGAACGCCTGAATATATGTATATATATGTCAGCAGAACGCCACAATATGTGCCAGTATATATGCAAGATAGACACTTGGTAATGTTGAAGCAATATAGCCGTCGGTCCGGTTTTAAGCACAGTGTAGTGCCACGGTGGGGATCACTCAAAGTAAGCCAATCCTTAGGTGTTTTAACCTTCAGGCGCTTGTAGACCTTTCTTCCTTTCTTTCAGTAACCCCTTGTTTGGATTAGTGACAGTGAGTTGTTGCATAATATTTGTCATTGAATTTGTCCTTTGTTAATTTTTGATATGGTACTACAAATGATTACTGCATGTAGGGTTGAAACCTCATTTTAGCATACTTTAGCAGTGATGTGGATGAGATCAACCCTTCACAAAGCAGGATCCGACTCACTTTCATTGTACATGTTGATGTGAGTGTTGACAATATGAAGTCCTTTATTTCCTCGTTGTTCTGTCCTGCGCCTTTCTGTCCCTTTATTTTCCCGTTTTGGCTCGCGCTTGCTCCCAGACTGAGACCCCTAAGGTCTCGTCATCTCTTTCGCAGGCAGGACATGATGATGTTCTGACTGTTCTTTTCAGACACGCCTTTCTGGGGTGACTGGTCGGTCTATTAACAGTGTAGTACTTGTATTCCACAGTTTAAACACCACTTGCCACCGCCGACCAAGATCACAGCCCCAAATAATTCCAATTGACATCCAACTGCATGGGATCACTTGCAATAGGCAATCTAAAAAAAAAGGCTACTAGGAACAAGTGCCTTACTACTAGGAACAAGAAGCTACTAGAATCAAGGGTTACTAGGAACAATCTTGACATCTTTTGTTCTTTCAGCTTGAGAAAACGATTGCTCGGATGGATTGTGAAATTGAGTCGAGGCTGCCACACGCTTCTTCCGGAAGAGTGAAGGAGGCTGAAATTGCTTCATGTGGCGCACACGTTCTGGCCCGCTCCATTTCACATCACCTTTTTCATCAAGGTTTTGTAGGATTGTTTGTTCTTTGCTATTCTCATGTCAAAAGTGAGAAACTCATGCTGAAGTGAGAAACTTATGCGTTTCAATTCGCTTCACATCAAGGTGCGCGTTTATTCTCACGATTTGAGGACTCAGCGAATCTGAGCTGCTTTCCTCCAGGACTGGGAGTTGACGGCAGCTCACTTGGTTCTTTTTTACAATATTGTGATATTCCATTAGAGCCATGTTTAAAAGGAACCTAATAGTTTCTTGTTCCTAGTAGTAAGGCCAGGAGCCCCTAGTAGCGTCCTTGCTCCTAGTAGCGATGCCAGGAGCCCCTAGTAGCTTCTTGTTTGTGATATTCCATTTCTCATTTATTTTTGTGTTTTAGTGATTAGCTACTTGTCAGAGGTCAACAGGCCATGTCCAAGAAAGCTTTTCATTGAACAAGTTCGAAGCTCTTTTAAACAAGTCTAGTAGGGTGGAGGCCATCGCTATTGGGTTCCTCTTTGCTACTAGGAGCAAAGGGCATCGCTACTAGGGACAAGGACGCTACTAGTACCTCCTGGCCTTGCTACTAGGAGCAAGAAGTTATTAGTAACAAGAAGCTATTAGGGGCTCCTGGCCTTACTACTAGGAGCAGGGACGCTACTAGGGGCTCCTGGCCTCG